GTTTCGAGGGAAAAATATATATGTGTATATCTATATCTACTTAGTTATACCTATAAAAAACCCATGGCTGTCAAGTCAATTCTGACTCATGGTGACCCCATATGTGTCAGAGTAGAATTGCACTCCCTAGGCTTTTCAATGGCTATACTCTTAGAGAAGTAGATCACCAGGCCTTTTATGGGCGGTGTGGCTGGGTGGAGCCCTGGTGCTGCGGTGGTTAAGAGCTTTGCTGCTAACCGAAAGGTCGGCAGTTCGAATCCACCAGCCGTTCCTTGGAAACCAACCCTATGGGGCAGTTGTACTCTTTCCTAGAGGGCCGCTATGAGTCTGAATCGACTTGATGGAAATGGGTTGGGTGTTTTCAGCAGGTGGCTGGGTGGATTTGGACTGTCAACACTTGGGTTAGTAGCCAAGCACGAACAGTTTGTACTACCCGGGGACCTATCCCTACCTGTATCATCTGTGTCTGTATGCACCTCACACAGTACACTGCAGTAAGGATCAAAGTAGGCAAAGGCATAGGAGGTCGTGAGTGAGAGGGAGAGGCCAGGGAAGGCTTCGCACAAGAGGTGACTACCTACTATTTCTCCACAGACATGACCATGGCTTGGTGATGCCCAGAGGCCTGGTTTCGTCCCTGAGCCGTGGCCTCACCATGCACACTGCTCCCCAGTGGCGCCCCCCAGCGGCACCCCCCGGGGCGCACACACCTCTGTTCTCCTTGGCCAGGTTGTCGGCCATCTCCCAGTAGTCATAACTGTGGAGGATGCTGTTGGTGATGCTGACGTGATTGGCCGCCATCTGATGGATGCGCTGTGGGATGCTGACGATGGTCGATGGGGACAAGCTGCTGGAGGTGGAGAGGCTCCCCTGAGATCCCACGGAGCTGGTGGGAGAGGGGTTGGGAGACATGGGGGATGGGGTTCCAGTGCTCCTGGAAGGGGGGAGCGCAGAAAAACAAGAGTAGAGAGGTTGGCACCAGGCAAGCGGGCAGCCCCTCAGCACTGAAGCAAAGCATCACGTCGCCCAGCATCATGCAGGGTCTCACTTACTGCGTTGACTTTGGAAAAGGGAACTTACTTTCCACTGGCCCCCCATGGAGATGGGGCTTGGGCAGCTTTGGATGAGTTCTGCGGGAAAATGAAAACATTGCGGGTGAGTACCATCTGCTCAAGGTTGAATGGCCGACAGTAACATGTTCTCAGGTGACTTGCAGGCATGGCAAATAAAACGTGCATCCATGGAAATCAGGTCACGGAAGTTTCAATTATTAGGCTATTTGTTGCCTCTCTGGAACCAGTGGGGTCCCATAGCAGGCTAAAGTGAAGGGCTCTCCCCACACCCTTGGTTTTTATATATCAAAGGAAATAGTAATCCCAAACGAGTCTAATTTTTCAATCTTAAACTAGGCTAATTTTTCTGAAAGGAAAAAGGAGCAGGAACCCTTTCTCC